CACGACGATTTACTTCATGGAAAAAGTGTGACAAAAACTTGTAAAGATGCATTTGAACAAAAAGGAGGCTTAAGAGGAAAATAAATGAAAAATGTACACACAAAACATTCAGTTCCACCAGGGTTTACCTAAGGAGAGGCGCGATTTTACGACAAGGACTATAAAAGCCGTAGAATTCGATGAATGACGAACGGCGAGCACAAATGTTGACCAGACATGGCTGGTGGCCAGGGCGTGAAACGAGGAAGAAGAAGAGGACAAGCATGAATCAGATTGAGAGTTGAATGAGATCTTGTCAAGTCGTATCAATACTGAATCACCGCTTAACGCACAGGAACGGTGGTCGTGTATTTGGGGGGGGGGGAGCATAAGTACGGTAATAAAAAAGCTGAACACTTGACCTTATTCGCAAACTGTAGACTAAGGGTCATCTACAAAGTGAATGTGAACCAAGCTATGAACTAAAGTAGAAGGGGATGGGGCAAAAAAGGCCTATAAAAAGGAAATTAAAAAAACGGAAAGAAAATTGAGGAGCAGGGAGAGCAAACGCTCAGGAAAATGCATGGAACGCAGGAAAAGGCCTCGCATTTGTAGAAGAGTAAGACTTGTTCGGATGGGGAGAATTTTCAGGAATGATTGGAATTTTCGGAGTATTTCAGGAAATGCTCGGTACAGTTCGGAGAAATTTGCGCAAATTTTAAAGAAACGCTCGAGTTTTTTTATTTTTCGTTTGCTGCCTCTCCCCCCCCCACCTCGCTCGCATGGCCACTTGCTTTTGCGGGAAAGCGACTGTATGTGTTTTGGAGTAGGATGGAATAGAATGAAGGGTGGGTTTGTAAACGGAAGTTGCGTGTACATAGGAACTTGGATAAGTGTTGAACTTCATAAAGGATAAAGGATAAAGCATTTGCCGTTGATCAATCCCTTTTTGGGATGCGGCACGCATTCTACTTCCATTTGTACATTCGTAGTGGCGTTTGAATGCGATGTGGCCTATACAATGACTTGCGGGGGCCAGCCGATGTTCAAGTCAGTGTTTTTATCCTCCCAGACAAGTCTGGTACCAATTAACCGACCCCGGAGGGATGGAAGGCTTGGTTGGCCCGGGCGACTCACGACCCAGGATTTGATCCCGGACCGCTCGCGTGGTGAGCGCGCCACTTGTCACTACACCACTTCCGCCCTCGGATCCTCGGTAGTATAGTGGTGAGTATCCGCGTCTGTCTCTGTAGCAGAAATGAGGTCTTAGGAAAGGTCTGCTCCCCGCCAAATTTTCGTCGGGTGTACCAAATTTCTCCGGTTGGTTTCACTCTGGTGAAGTAAAACGACAGTGATTAACGCGGCCTCTTCACCGTACAAACCAGTGGAATAATCACTTCTGAAGATCTTCAGCGATTAGAACTTGTGGTCAAAACGAATCTCTAAAGCAATGTGGCATCGCTCGCTCCTTAGCAATGAAGACATTCAACCAGAGATACTACATTAGTAGGATAAATAGTATGAAATTGATCACGAAAAGGACTACTAACTATGTGGTTCTCACAATTAGAGAGGAATCGACGTGATCGCCAAATCTTTGTTCTTTTAAGAAATTACCCAAATGAGAACAGAACAGTTTTTGGATCTGAGGTAAAAATCTGGAAAATTTGGCCATCGTGAAATCGATAGGCACGCCCTACAGGCGGCTCCTCTAATATTTGGGCACAAGAACAGAAAACATGATTCAGCCGGCCGTTGTAAGCTGGCCGTAGGGTTCGAGAGCAATCGTTTTCCCAGACGCCCGTTCCAGAAATCTTCAGTGCTCCCTCATATTCACCGTCGTTGCGAAGAAAAGCTTTACCAACCGCTTTAGGTGGCTAAATTCCAAACCTTGAACTGAAATATATCCACTAGGAATCCTGAAAAAATTGCAGGAGCTTTTCATGCGCGAAACCTCCAGCATCAGAAACCTTTAGCTGGTATACTGAAAGCTCCACATCTAGATGTGGCAGATCGGTGCGAGTATAGTCAAGCTTGTAAAAGGGTAAAAGACTTGAATTGGCGTTGGTCAATATTTGGGATACGCCACACATCCGACTCTCATCCAGAATCAAGTGACACTCGAACGACTAGATAACGGCCAGCAAGGCCAGTCAGAAATGGCGATATTTTCTTCCTGGATAGGGGGCGATGAGTATCTCAAAAAAGGCTTCAGTGAACCCTTGTACAAAAATCTCTTCATTTCTCCCAGAACATTCGTAAGTTTGCCACTCTGTTAGGTATACATATCACATACATACCGATATCGCCTCTCCCCTGGCTCCATAAGGCTCAAACCCGTCGGCAAGTTCAAAAAAAGCGAACCTGCCTTGAAAGGAGGATTCCCACGATATAACGAACATGAAAGGGGAGACTCTCTGTTAGACAGGCACACTAAAGGGTGCGGACTAAACACGCCAATCGCACTCGAAGCATCTATCTAGCCTCCTTATGGCGCAAATCGACGTCGACGCCAGGACGACTAGTCGCTCGCGCAGGCCTATACGCGGTGAGCGATTGGACAGCAGAGAGAGTTTTAGCGTTGAAGAGGGCACAAAGATGAGAGTCGTTTCTTCACTGAGCACCTCGACCTTTATTACCGATAAGCTAGTTTTTCATCGTGAAATCCGCCTCTAAAATCATATATTGATGCGCTGATGAAGCAACCGAGGAAGGGCAATGAAATCAGGTCGCCGCACTCTGTACACGCGTTCCAAAACAATCTTCATTCAACTATCGTAGCTACGCTTAAGCCCAACTTGGACCTTATGGCGTTCAGGCGCACTTGTCACACACCAAGCACCTAGGTTTTTTCCCCCCCGCCAGAGTCCACGAGGACAATGAACACGCTATGTCACGCGTCACATGAGTCACCATGATCCCCACATCCATTCAATAGGCAGTGGCCGTTGGTACTCACTCCTTGCAGTGCATCTTTCGCTCTCATATGCAGTCTATGCGCGCCTGCGTTGCCACCGACTTCACACCAAGCAACTGATCAATTGCCGTGCATGCGGCAATCAAATGCGCGCGCGACATCGCGCGATGACTTTTTCTGTTCCTGTGAGACACTCACATAGCATGGTTCGCAATCTGCAAGCGAGAAGCGATTGAAAATTATCTACGACGGATAGCTGCATCAATGAAAGGAGCCACCTTTGAAGCCCTACCCTTTATATTATTGCTGCAAACAAATGAACTTGGTGGAATATTTTCAGGGTTGATCCTCGTCGTTGCGTGCATGAGAATATCCTGGCAAGACAGACATTTCATGAATAAGAACAAGAAATACATTCTGTCGATGCAACTCTACGACTCGAATCGCGACAAAATCAATAGAATTTTGACCATCGGCCCGTAGCTATTTCCACAAAAATTCACAGACTGGATCAACGAAGCAAACGACATTAACTTTTAATTCCACAAGGTTTCATAAATACCATATCAAAAATGTCCTTTCAATTAATCCGCGTAAGTTCTCCCTCACCCTGGGGAACACGACAGGAGGCCCGTCGCGCGGCAACAAGGCAGAGATACGGACAAGTTCAACAGCGCGAACTGCGATGATGTCGCTCAAAACTGAATAGAACTGGTAGGGGGGGGGGGGGGGGGGGGGGGGGGGGGGGCGGGCTCCACATCGCGCCATCACACCACTTGACTCGTCTGCTAATTCTGTCTTCTACCGCGCTACGAGCCATCATGTAGGTACCCTCACTCAGCGCAAAACCAAATGCCACTCTTATCAAGATTCCTCGACGCCGAATAGAACTTTCCGCATCGGCCCCCCCATTCCATTTGTCACATTTTGATCGGTGCTAAATCTCGTCCATGGTATTATTCAAGAAAATTTCCGTTGGCAGACAATAAGGAACCGATACGCTGTCAACCATTCCTATTCACTAGATTTATTGATGGCTGCTAGTTCGCAACCTTTTTTTCTGAGGAACAATGAATGATTGGCCCCAGCATCAAGACTCCAACACCATTAGCAAGTCTTGACAGCAGGAATGATTGAGAGTATGTCAGCAAGAAATTAATCCCGATTCGCTGTTACTTCGTACTGCGTGTACTGTTTCCTGAACACAAACCAAGCTTATTGATATACGTAGCATTGAAAAAGACGAAAGTGTAAAAAGTTTGCGTGGTATTGATTTTTTTTCAAAACCGATGCTACACGCGCTACGAGTCCGCAACTGCGACACACGTTACCGCGGGAAGTATGAACCATACGCATACGTATAAACGTGCTTGTAAGTAATAATAGTGTATGCATGGTAATAAATTGTTTGAACACATGTGTCGAGCACGTAGCCTGTAGTCTTTCTCAAGATTTTTAGATCATATCATATAGATTCATAATAAAAACACCCTCGCTCGCACATACCACTGAGAGGTTGGAGTTTTCTCTGAATAGCCCGTAGCAGAAGTCCTCAAACATTTGCAGAAGCACGCTGTGGGACACGAATCCGAAATTAAACTGACATCAAGAAAAAATTATTGGATCCAATCCCAAACTCCGGTTGAATCCCTGATGTTTGAAGGGAAGGGTGCAAGAGTTCACCATGATGATTCCCTCGTCTCGCATTACATGAAGTCTCTTGCCTGAAAATTCCGGATCTACTGTACTAAAGGTACTTCCATTCTACATTATTTATAGCCACTACTCAACTATGCATCTATCACAAAGTTACACTTCATACCAGAGTTCCACTACTACTATATTACCATTTTAGTGGGTCCACAATGCAAATGAAAGTACCATAGCGAAAAAGATCACTATGTAACCTAAACTACGAACAACACGGCGTTGTACCAATGCTATTAATTTTTCAGAAAAAAAGAACTACACTACATTACATAATATGAACTTTGGAAGCGAAATACTTTCATTCTCCACCAAAAAACACAAAAAATCTTTATTCCTATCTCCTGTCGTGTTCCTGGACAGATTTCTACCGTTCTAGTCTCACGATCTGAGATGTTCATTTCTTCTCGTTATTACCGACAGGCTTCCCGTTTTCCCAAACGGCTATCTTCAGTGTAGGTTCGCCAGTATACTTTCTTCCTCTTCCGAGAACCTCTACCTTTTTCTGAAAATAAAACAGCAACCTCTCAAATTCTTGATCTTACAAAAAAAACATTTTCTACTATAAGCGAAACACAAGCACAGTAAGCCTGTGGTAGTTATAACGAAATAGTTTTACGCAAGAACGCTGCAAGCACAAACAGCAGTTTTCTACTCTACAGGGGCGATTCCTTTGTTTTTCTCGGCTCAGCATATTAGTGATATTGCCTGCATAGAGTACCGCGGCAAAAAAGCAGCAATTGCCAAAGCCCAAACAATTCATCTAAATTCATTTCATTTTTCATTCATTTCAATTTAATTCGAGGCCCTCCTCTTCGCATATTGAGCAATGAGCGCAAAACTAACGCCTGTAGGGAATCTGGCAAAAATAGGTCAACAGAAAGAAAATATAATCTACCTCTACACTATGTGCTTTTCTAGGAAGAAAAGTTACTAAAACCATTAACAACGGAAATCCCAGCTCATGTCTGGTTTTTTTCTGGAGAAGAAAGGAATGAAAATCCCACCCATCGTTCCTGCATGGATGAAGCTGCACGTAACTGCTCCTGCTTTCTCTGTCCGCGTTCTCTTCTACTCAATCGAGGCTTGCTGTAGGCACTGACGTATTATATTTAGGAAATGGCAGTGAAGAAATAGCAGGCGTCGATCATAAGCACAAATATGGCAGTATAACAGTTGCACCACTACGGTTTCTTATCTGGACTTCATAATTACGAAAGCAAATACACCTAAGATCTTTAGGATGCTGACAACTGCACCTGTCACCACTGACTATAACCTGTCTAAACTCTACCACTGAACGCTTCATTCAATCAGTATAAAGACCGAAACTCAAAAGCGACTTGTTCACCAAATGTATAGTTTGTTCCCCCGGAAACGGACCCACAGGTACGAAAGGTGAATATGTATGAAAAGGCCAAAGAAATCGCTAGAACATCCCAACTGAGTGTTTCTTTCTTTGCACTTGATCTCTGCAGAATACAGATTCGTAAACGGGATTCCGGATGGCGGGTGTGATCACCTTTGGGCCTTGGCGATTCTGCCTTGCAAATTCGTGCCGCCGTCTAAAACATCGGTACTGCTCACAGGCACTTTACCCTCACGTTTTATGAAGACCAAGAAAGTCTACAGGAAAGTAAGCACTTTCTAGCATCTGTTTCTGCATTATGTCCAACACCAAAAATAGCTTCATCTAAAAAAAATACACGTAAAATGTAAGTTGGTGTGGTTCACTAGGACAGAAAACGAATTTCCCGCCTTTCGCACGCGGAATGTTTTTCGCGGCAAGAACCCTCAGGTCCACTCCTCATCAGTGGTGGATGATTTGATGATCCCGCAGGCAAAAATTTTGCGCTGGAAAATTCGCAACCTGTCCTAGTGCACCACAACCAATGGAAGTCTACTGTGTACTATACACAGCAAATTTCTTCCACCAACCTTTGAGCATTTTCTTGTCACCTGAGCGGCAATCTGCGAATATCGCACATAAGTGATACCGGCAGCTCTCCACATAACCATTTTCTGTGGCAATCAATACACGTCTAATTAAGAAAGGGCATCTGCACTACTGTATAAAAAACCAAATCAATAGCGTCATCGAGTACGAATGACAACGGAAAAGCATCGTATCGACGCAAACATGAACACACGACGAGAAGAATATTTATACACAGTTGGCATTGGCATACATCGAATCATCGTAACTACACCAATCAATAAAAATTGTGAAGAACCGCAGCTTGTGCTTGGCGCCGCAAAATGAAATCCACCGAAAATTTGAGAAGAATAAATCGAAAAAAAACTACATAACAAAATTTCAATGTGAATGTTTAAAGTAAAACAAGTTAATGTAAATATTCTATGTAAAACAAAGCTAAAAGCTAATCGATCGCGTGTAAGTAATGTATAACATGCCGTTCAACCGTAGAAATGAGAAGTCTGCGATTACCAAACCATGCTGGCCGCTAGACTTTCAGTAGACTGTTCCACACAAATGCACTTCTTTTAAAACTTTTTATTAGGCCGCCAAACAAATTAGAACACAAACCTTGCCACCACACGGCAGGATCACTAGACATGCTTGAGAGAAGTTCACTCAGAATAAAAGGATTGTGTTAAGCGAAAGGGAAGCTAGAGAAAGGGTACATTAGAGTAGAATCTCATTCTATAGTCACTATAAAACGGACAAAGGCCTAGCAAAGCTGCACTGCTTATGCATGCACAACCGATCAATCCATATGGGTTGGTAAGCTCATTACTACATGTTGCTGTTGTTCCAAAACAAACAATAAAACAAACAGAGGAGAAAAGCATGCCAGAAACCCCCACAATTCAATTCACACGAATAGAACAACTAGGAACGTTACTGCAATAACAATGAAACTAGATTCGATCAATTGGACTGGTATTTCATCACAGAAAACTTACTATGCAACAGGCAATAATAGGTCAAATAATAGAAAACATAATAATTTAATAGGCAATCGTATGATTTTCCGCTTATTGGAAAAAGCGCTTGCCGACCTGATAGTTCCATCGATGGGAATTTCAGAAGGCGATAATGGGTGTATGGATGATTCAGCATGTACTTCGTTACTGCGCTGAAAAAAAAAGAACGGCGTTATACACACAACATATTACTGAATGGTTAGAAGGACATATGGATCAACAAAGGTAACTGCTGGTTAGGGGAACATAGACAGCCTCTGAAAAGCACCACTAAAATGAACCTTGTAGCACATTTCTATATCGAAAATAATTTTGAGCAAACTGACGATTTATAATGAGCACAAATGGGAAGCGCGTGTTGTTCGAAATGTTTAAACAATAAAAAATGATGCAGCGCCAACTTGCAGCGAACGCCACGTCAAAGGCACACACCGCGCTCAAATTGATGTGATTCTTGTCGTGAATATGACTATGAAGGGGTGTAGAGTGGGGGTGTGGATCGCTGAAACAGAAAGCGACTTTGTCGCTCACCCAGTGCAAAACCATTTCACTGTGGGAACCCAAGCTCCACTCATGGGACCGTATCTTATTCTTACCCCAAGAGGACGCGTCCTCCGCCGCTGGTCCTGGTCCACAGCCTGGGGTAGACATGGTTGCGTCATGAGACCTGCCATTAAACGCGTGATGTTGTAGCTACCCTCCACTGTTGGAGCAACCTGTCTCCGCCAAACATGGGATAGGATCAACGCGCGGGATGCGCCCCTTTAGGGGAAGGATAGGATACAGCCCTTGAGGCTTGGGTAGAGTTAGCTAGTTGAGTTTCGCGCAGCAAAAAGCAAAGATACCGCATTCTGGCCTAGCGACCCACACCCGTAGAGTAGACTGCTGATGAAGAAAAAGATAAAGAACCACTTTAACACTGAAATTGAGGGCTTGCCCATTTTCATAATTCGGCTATGCTAAGGCAATGAGACAGTGACAAAGAGGATAGGCGAGAGCCAACTGTCCGGCGCATGTAGCGAATGATACACAAGGGCAATGACGAGGCCCTCGCTCTTGTCGCGCCCTTTTAAGCGGGAAAACGAAGCATCTACGTCTTTACTAACAGGTCCATATTTCCCACCAAAGGGGTTAACCCACTTGAACTCATCGTGGATTGTGCCTTCAAAGAAATGAATGAAAACCACTACCGAAACCGAAAAAAAAAACCTAGGAATGTCCATGTTTCACGGAGTTCACCACTCAATTTTGTTTGTTCTACTCACTTGTACCCAACGACCGGATCCAGACACGCGCCAAGTCATGTGAAAAAAGTGCTGTAGTTGCACTCAGCGAGCGAGGGGGGGGGGGGCAAGCGCCTTCAGATATGTTCATAAAGCTAGGCGAAGGATGTTTCCCAGGCTCTTCCCATTTGTTTACGATTACCATGCGCACTAACGCCACAGCTCAATGACGCACCATTAGCTGGTCCGCGAGTGTGAGACTGTAGTGACTACGTTAGTGTAGGGAGGTGATGGGATTGATTCCGTTTATCGTGCGATCAGCGACAGGGGTGAGCTCGACTTATAGAGTAGCGGGGTGTCACAATATTCAGTTTTTGGATAGTGTCTTTGGATGTGGCTGGTTATAGGTCTGATGGCGCTGCGCCAGTGCGCGTAAATCTGCCGGTTTGGCCAAATTTCCCACCAATCAGCTCACAACGAGAACAGCCCTGGAGTCGTCAAGGTGAGAAAGAGGGGTTGATAAGATGAAGAGGGAAAGGTGTAGGATTCGATAAACGGGAACTATAATCCAACAGTAGTGCAGAAAGTTCAAAGAGATACAGCACGCATATTATGAACGATAAACGGGAACTATAATCCACAGTAGTGCAGAAAGTTCAAAGGAGATACAGCACGCATATTATGAGACGCAGACGGCACCAGGAACGCAGAAGGATATTCAACAAAATGTAGTCACTGTTAGTCTTTAAAGGGTACTGGTCAAACAATGGAGGAGCAAACATAGCAACGAGGGTTCATATATAACTTCCAAAGAAATGTCAATGATTGAAAAAATTAGTAAAAAATAAATTGCTAAATGACTGCTACACTATGACTTTTTTCGAAAAAATTCCACTTGCACTCGAGTAAAGCACTATATATCAGCTATGACCTGCGAAATGGTCATTTTGTTGTCTTGATGGGGACTTTCATTTCTAAAACATTGTTTACTACTTTTATAGTCAAGGCTTGCGCTCATCGTAGTATAATTTTTGTCATGGTCGGCACTAGGAGCACCAACCGCGTAGTCCTATAGAACGACATCTGGCGATGTCTCACCATTCATTTGAGTTGCATTTGCTGGTCGTGGGGTGATGGCTGGAGTACCGACGACCATGGCGGGCGAAGGTGAGTAAACCTGTCCAGGGCGGATCGGCTTCACGATCTGAGGAGTGTTCTGGCGACGTTGGTTACGCTGCCTGACCGCATCCTTGATACGCTCCACCTAGAAATACGAATTATCATTGCAAAAAAAAGTGGATGAGTAGGAAAGGCGAGAAAATCTGCTGTGATGGTGCAAATCCATACCTCTTGTTGATACTTTCGCCGCTCAAGCTGGGATCGCTCCTTAGTCTCTCGTAGAGCTGTTTCAAGCTGCTTGATGCGATCCTCCCTTCCACGCAGACGCGCTTCCATCTTCGGTAGTTCCACGCGAAGATCAGCGTTATCACGAACAAGCTTAAAATGTAAAAAATGCAGAAAAGCAGTAGAAGTACACAAAATTCCAAATCAAGAAAAAACATCACAATGGCCGTAGAATGGACACCCTCTTGTAAAAATATTCAAAGAGCTTGTCAAAGTCTTCACAAGCACACGAACCGCTAAAGAACTTCTTTCTTCAAGATATGCTTTACATAATGAATCCGTATTTGGAAATATTCTGTTCTTTTTATAAAATGGCGATTTTTTTCGCGTTATTTCTTCAATCTAAAAATTAAGGTTCCAATCAAAGACGGATACACTGTCGACGTCGAACAAAATTGATTTACCTGCTTGTGAACCTTGGTAAGCTTGTCCAGGTTGTTCTCAAGGAATTGGATTCGTTGTTTCTGAGCGGGGCCAGAAAGACAGTCTTCCTCCACGTCTAGACCAGCCTGGCATCTCGAGAGAATCAACCGGACGAACTCCTTCTTCAGGTTCTTCAATGTGGCAAGTTCCTAAAAACAACCAAATGGTTAACGAGCGATAACAACACGATCTGAGAGAACAGCTGAATGACATGCTCATTTAGGAAAAGAAATAAAGAGCAAATAACAGTTCGACGGCAGAATCGAAAAAAACAATATAAAAACGGACCGTGTTGACTCTGTCGGTGAGAGGCTTGAGCTCCCTTGCAGCCTGATCCTTCACCAGCAACTGCTTCAACTTGTTCGCATCCTGTCCCTTGACAGAATCCATCTCCTCCAGCTTCTTCTCAGCTGCTTGAGCCTCAGCAGAGTTCATCTAAAGAAGACAATAATTGAAACATATATTCGCTAATACTCTTTCTAAATTGTCCTACATCATATGAAACCTTACCGCAGAAGCTGGATCGAGAAACATGATAAACATTAAGGTCAAAATAAAGGGGTTACAATGTGGAGTATGATATTTGTTAGCGTCCTAATACTTTCCTCTAGCGAAAGCAGCACGAGCGCCTAATAATGGTGTGCCTGACAGAACAGCCCTCTATACGGTTCAGAAGAATCTTAACAGCAACGGAAACACGTGGCATCGTTTGCCACGAAATTTCCAGAACATCGCAACCTTTCCGGATAGTATTCCAGGCGATAGAAAGCGCGATCAAAAGGAATAGGAAGTAATGAAGCTATCAAGATTTAGAGAGGAGACGATGCACTACTGATGGAGCAAGAATATCAATGATGCTCATAAAGTGAATATGCACGACATTGAGAAATAAAGCGCAGAATAACGCGACGGAGTAATGAAACGGCTGATAGAGCGTGAAAGAAAAATCATGGAATAACAATGGACAACGAAACGGTTGATTGCATTAGACAAAACCTAATGAAGAGTGACCGATAAGAGTCGCATAATGATGAGAATTGAAAAAGTAGACCTTCCAAAAATGTCTTGTCACCTCTTTCGCTGCTGTATTCTCGCTGAACAGCTTCGAGACTCCAATTCGCATGTGGTTGAGAAGTTCATGGTCAGGAAGAACGTCATTCTGGTTGACCTGAAGCTCGAACAAACAATCAGAGGTAGCCGTAAATTAAAGTCAGCATGCTTCGGCAATTGCTATAAAGTGCGAAGCAACGAGAAACCCACACCGTGCAACATGGGAGCTCCCCTAAGCTGGCATTAATGAAAGGAACACGCAAAAAAGCCCTGAACTTACGATATCTGCGATGTTGTATTCGCGGATGATATTGTAAATAGCATCCTTGAAATGCTTGATCTTCGGACCACACTCGTCCAAATGCGCATTGAGAGCACTTGTCGCTTGACTTGAACTGTCTTCCAGCTGTTGGTTCTCCTCCTGCAAATGAGATTTTTTGACCCGAATCAAAATAGCCATAATAGGAGGTCGTAGAAAAGGCACTGACCATCACAATTTCAAGCTCCTTCTTCAATTTCTCATATTCAGCGTTTCGCACCTCAAGCTGGACGGCGATGTCCTCGATAGCAGAGATCATCTGAATACATGATTTGCCTCAGTACGCTTCGACAAAGAAAAAGGAGAAAACGGGAGTCAAAATAAGGAAGAAACATTCGCCTTACCTCCTTGGTCTCATTTTGCTTATCGTCGCTTTCCTTCTGGATGCGAACAAGCTCCTCACGCAACGTCTCCTCATTCTCGCGCATCGCTTGGATCGATTCATCTTGCAACAAGACCTGCACAAAAAAAACTTGTTCTTGCGGTTAGGACAGAACCGGTCAATAATTGCTAAAAACTTCCTGTACACTTAACGACACTGTTTCCGATTTAAATTATGTGACGTCGTAAGTCGTTAAAAAAGATCGAAGTCAGTCATCTACCTGGGCCTTCAGCTTCTCGTGCTCTTGACTGACGCGCTGGATTTCGTCGTCCTTCTCATCGAGTTGTTGGTAGAGCTTCACCCGCTCCTCCTCATACCTAAAATAAAAATGAAGCATAAAGATCCAATGAGCCAGAATTGCACACGAACTTCTTCTTCTCTTCATCAGTAATAGGACCGGTAACCGAGGTGAGCATCGGTGGTGCTGGCGCGATCATGGATCTCTCCATTGATGGTGTTGTCGAATCTGTAGGTGCTAAAAGGCATTTCGCAGTATAGGAATTTTGATTTATTCATAAAACAACGCTCAACTAGAAAGATGATGACTCACTGTCGGACACAGCCAAAAGACCAGCAGTATCATTGAGGTTGATCCAATCAGCCTCACTGACACGCTCTCCCCCTCGCCATCGCGACACTTCCAAGTTGAGAGCTTGAATAACAGCAGAAAGACGAGTGTTCTAAAACCACTGCATAAGCCACTCATTCGCACACATCACTGCGAAAAGGAAACCCACTTTATCCCTTTCTTTCTCGTAGCGACGTTTCCATTCCTCAGCGGTAAGCTCCTCATTGATTTGGACAACGTTCTTAATCGTCTTTGCTCTGCAAGAAAAAAAAATTGAAAACATGAGGACCTTGATTTGGAGAAGAACTGTTAAGATGATCCCTAAACCATCCTAGTCACTCACCGCTGACCAAACATGAGAGTTGATTTAGTTTCAGCCTCATTGAAGTGGGAGGGAGACGCGCAAATGATGACAGTCGTTCGTGAGTTTCCTCCTAGGGATTCTTGAAGAATTCGAGTTAGTTTCGAGTCTCGATAGGGGACATGAGATTTCTGCAACAAAAAATCACTTTTAGAAACAAAAGAAACGAAATTTACAGAAACAGTAGACCTGAATTCAAATCATAAAAAAGTGAAAGAAACACTATACACTCTTACCGTTCCTTCTGCTAAGGCAGAGATGACGATACCGAGTGCTGTGAGAGATTTGTTAATATTTTTGGCTTCTTCTAGTACAGTTCCTTGAGCACCAGTTTTACTGACCTAAACATTTTAGTGAGGAATACTACCAATCTTACAAATTTTTTTTCAACTCAAACTAACCTTCTCAGAACCTGCTAAATCTACCAAGTATAGCTTGCCAGCAAGCTGTTTCTTAGTTGCTTGATGTTCCTGTTTTACAGTTATTAAAAACACAGAGTGGGAACGAGATGAATGCTCATTCATGTCTAAATAAGCACAATTATAAGAGATCAAAAAGAAAAAAAATACTGGATGGATAGCTCGGTGAAACTTACTAGTAACAGCAACCATTCGATTGCTTTTTCCGTCCTCAATCGTTTGTAATACCTCGTCAGGACTTCCTACAAATCGTTCAGTGGCTCCTTTCACATAGGGGACACGATTCTTGTCTTCATGAATGGAAAGGTTCACCTTTTCAGCTGAAACCAAAGCTTTTAGGTTATGGAACTCTAGCAGGCTGCAATACGAAATAAAATTCTAAATTTAAACTACGGAAGAATTCCGTCAAAAAGCAAATTGAAATAACAAAGAAGGCAAACTCACGATCTAACAAGTCACGAATTTTCTCATTGTAAATTTCAAAGTAAGAAACTTTAATGTGAAATTCTAGTTCTGTGTCCATAGTGTAGATGTGGTTGAAAATATCCTGTACTATCCGTGGAATGATACCCTGCATTACTTGATCACCAATCACACCCTAAACCGGCTCATGATAGTGGGATGATTTGAGAGGTTTTTTGGAATAAATCGTGATCAGTGACAGAAAACAAACCTCCATGGTATGGGTTTTACCAGAAGATGTCTGACCATAAGCGAATACTGTTCCATTGTAACCTGACAGAACATCTTGGACAATGTGATAGGCTGCACCCATATAAACTTGTTCTTGTGTAGTATTTGGTTTGAAGACTTTGTCATACACAAATACCTTTCCCTGAAATAAGAAAAAATGCTGTTCCTTCCTAATAATCTTCATCTTCAACTACGCGCTCACTACTCATTGAAGTGGGACTTTAATACAGTGATAGAAATCCTGGACTGTTTACGCCAAGCAATGGATATTCATCCCTATAAGACAAGCGTGTCACTTGGTCCGGTAGGCTCAAAAGCTATATCAGGTGCAGGCATTGTTCACTATTGGCGACTCAGTCGAACAGATGGATAGATGATCTGGAGAAATGGATCACATGCGAGTTGTTCACCCCGCCCTCTCGGCGTTTTAGGGCGATTTTCCCAATCGTCTGACCCATACTTATCCTCTTCGTTTCGAAACTACACAGCCAAGAGCAAATAAAGCGTTCACCTGTTTCCCATTTCACCCGCCCAGCGTAAGCAATCTGAAGGGCGGTGATGTTCCTTACTGCAAGCCTTGCAGCTGGGAAACATTAAGCCCAGTACGACTGGTATAACCCAAAAATGTGCCTCATTTTGGATAACTGTCATGGAACCCTCAGAAACTGGAAATGTCGTCCCTCTTAATCCAAATACCGATCGGTTGATCCTACTTTTAATTAAAGCGCAGGGAAATTCGGAAGGACGCAAGAAATGGTTTTACTGACAGGCCGCCGTCGCTGAAATCGATAGCCTTAACGAGGCTATTCTTTTTCAGAGTCAGTCAAGCCTCCTGCAACAGAATAGCTTCGTCAGCTACGGCTTCCAATTCTACAGTAGTGATATCTATGTATGTTGGAGAGGGTTTACGGACTACTTGAACTTTCTTCTACGGTCCTGCTACAAATGACGGAGAGCACCGACAATCAGAGAACGGCGCTTGGCTCGGCTCTAAATCCCAAGAAAGGTGGGAGCCCTAGAGCTGAGCCTTTTATAGAGGAGATGAACTCCGAGGCGAGGGCATCTAGCTGAGAAGGCTTGAAGGACTGAGTTCAAATACTCCGTCGACCTTTCGACAGTGACTGTATTTATACGGTACAAAACCATTGCACAATGTTTGAGAAAACTTAATCGCTGGTATTCTGCATTTATTTAAACCCGCTGCTTTTGAACATGAAAAAAAAGGTCACATTTAGTCAGAGCTTGCAATAAATTGGCTAGCTGCGTTGCCTTTTCAGCCAAATAACGTCACTCCTAATGCCATTCGCACGCTACACAATGGTGTACCATTATGAAAACGCTTATGTATATCTGATTACTAGGTTCTCACGTTTCCACTAGCATTTTTAGCTTTCTTAGAACTTCCGTAACATTGCTAGGTTTCCCGACATCTTGATGCCCTAAATGTACGTCGCCGCTTCTTAATCACAGAGCCATCTACAACTGTGACTCACTCGCCATCATTTACTGCTTTAGCGCAGAAATTCTTTTATGACCGAATAATGACTCGAAGCAATCGTGACACCATGTGCCACGCACTGACTGGAGCTTTAAAATACATTACGCTTTACTGCTAGATCTCTAGTACAACCAGTTGATTAGAACTAATAATTATGAATTACAAATTCAAGAATTTATGTCAATCTTCGAAAAAAGGACAATAATTTCAGTGCGGCCTACCCTATGACGATGGCATTCATCTGGCTTTGAAAACAGCATTAAAAGATCCTCAAAAAAAAAAAACCCCAACAAGTTCTAGAAGAGGCCCGACAACACAACGGTGCACTATCCAGACCATTTTCGTATTATATTTTCTAACCGCCAGAAAAAAATTCATTACCCATATCTAAAGGCTAAGAGCATTACCCATCCAAGCTCGAGCTCATCAGGAACAGGAGTTACTGTCGTGACATTACACTTATTTTTAGAAGAAGATAGTATGACTTTGTCAAAAATAGCTGAACAACATTCTTGTGACCTAATTGTGGTCATAGCGATATGGTATCATTCGGCCCGCTAAAGAATGCTCATTCACCCTCACACCGTTCAACTGAATTTAAAAATTCTTTCGCTGCCTTTGTGACCGATAAAACACGACGGTTCCTGTCTTTCATTTAAATCACAAACACTGGTGTGATTTTTTAGATTCAGAGATCGCCATTTCGTTTCGGAAGAAAAAATATTGCGGGGGAGTCCTGTCGTATCACATCTATTGGTTTATGTAAGGTCTCATCAACTCTTTCTTTCGATTGTGTTGCGATCGAAGCGCTCTATGGGGATTCAGGCTATCATTATTGGCAATAGCAGTCATGTTTAAAAGGCTCAATCTAATGTAATAAGCTGCAGAACTTAAAGTGTTGTATGGTTTTGCGATCACAACTTCTTAGCACACCACTTTATGCACGTTGATATGGTTGAAAAAACCGTCATCACTCAATCACCATGGATTCGAACCCTCGTATTATAATAGTCACCGCAGATAGACCAATTCATTCATTGATGTCACTTTGACTTTTCAATAACAATGCCGGTCCACATTCATAAGTCCATAACTGTTTGTAGATCCAATCGAAGGCACATACCGCACTATGCCTAAATATGCGCCACACTTCGACCCCACCCAATTCCAGCTGTTCTGACCGTCAGACCACAAGCTTCGACCTCGAATCCTTGTTCTCTCAAAAGCCGTGCTCTTTCCTCGCGAAACATCGATCGGCTAACGCCATTGAGATTAATCGCCTGTCTCTACGACGAAACGCGCCAGCTGGACAGGCGTATCTTCGAGAAAAACTTGGTCATGGTTATTACCCATCAAATGCTTATCAGATGATTTCATGGCCCGAATCGAAATATAAAACATGGCCAAACAGCACACGGGGCGAAAGTGTTACCCAAAACCGTACCCTTAGACAGTAATATCTCAGACCAGGCTCTGGAACATACGCTGGCTTTTTTGTCCCCTCCAATACCGTGAGCAGTTAGACCTGTTCTTGATGAGACAGAGCGATCAATCGTTACGATACGTTCACATCAATGTCCACATGAAAAACATAGCCACTACGTCTGCTGTTGCCACCCGTCTGATCCTTGCCTTTTTCTTGGCAGCCGTCTATCGACTGCGGGGAATAGATGCCAGACGAACCGACATTCAATTAGGTTCCGAAGACAACCACGGGCTCACTGCCATAAAACTGCGTCAAGTCCGCTGAAACACTCGGTCGAACAACGACTTGTGCAGCCACGAGATGTAATCCAGATACTGCAAAAACAGTCTCAAATCCTTATAAGTAATATGTGACAGGTGAGGCTTCCACTTACAGTTCGAATATTTAACTCCGTTCTTACCCCTACGGACCCTTCGTTTGATGATACCAATCCTGCTTAAAATATACCTAACACACCACACTCTTTGCAAATCTCATATACTATATAAAGTAAAGTTAACAGGGAACGATCGCGCCACAAGTCGCGCAAAACTCCTTTCTGTGGAAACCCTACCCTCTCCCCTTCCCCCATCCCAAAAGAAAGGACACCGTTGTGTTGCATGGAAAAGCCGTCATATGATATTAAGAATCCCCACTTTCGAAGGTACCATATCAGCACATAGATTCATGAAGTCCACCCCTCCCTGAGATTCAAATAGCCTTTACAAGCAATCGCAGTGTCACGACTCGAAACACATCTATATGATCTGGGTTACATATAGTTCCACGTGTATTCACGGGCACTCGTAAATGACGACCAATTGTAAGAGTTCAAGGCCAGCAAAGGTCCGACAACGAAGCGTTTTGTTGCGGTGAGAGGTGAGGACCTCCCTAAATAATTAACATCGGTAGATGTGTGCCTGGCCAGTCAAACAATAGTAAAATATGGAAATAGTTACGCTTTACTTATCAATTGCAAAGATCAAATAAAAATGGAGTTTCTTATTCCTAGCTTTTCATGTCAATTCTCGACAGTTTCACTTGTGCATTCCCTCAGGGTTTAATTTAAATACAGTCAGCCAAACCTCTTCAAATATTCTACCATATATTGTCCATCGATTTTCACTCGTTTTGCTACTGATGAATACATGGCCGTTGGGGAAATGGTGCGTCGAACACAACGCACACATTGACACACCTGTTCGGGCGTTTGAAACCCCGAGAACACCGCTAGATCAATAATGATCGCAACCTGCACCGAATAGGTGACGACACAGCGCTGTGCTTAGAGTTATTGTGACAGCGGCTAGAGAGGGAGAGAGGACAGAAGTGTCTCCGATCGAGTGAAAACCGCCCAAGGAGAGCGAAACACTCATGTACGACTCAGCAAACTCAAACTCACCCCGATGGAAATCGTGTCTTCGGACGGAAATTTGGGCAGAAATCGATCGCCATTTTTTTCTTCGGTCTTGTTTAAAGGCCGTATACGGCAGAAGACCTGGAAAAAGTAACTAAAAAACAGCTCAAGAGAAAAACGATGAAATCAGAACTTTTAAGCGAATCTTGCAAATAAATTTGAAGTGAAGATACTAAAACCCAAACAGCTGACTTGTATCATCTGAGAAGATGGATTTCATCACGTAAATGAGCGAAAAAAAACTGATGTATAGATCCAAAAAGAACCCAAAATTACCCCAAAAGGCGTTTATGGGTTGCATGTCTGCCCCTCAACAATATCATTAGGAGTATTATCCAAAAAGACCTGGCGCTTAAGCTTTAGCCCTCCCCACAACCATTCCTTTTACCACTGAGGTCAGGCAAAAAGCGCTACGTGTCACAGTTGATTTCGTGCTGTTGCCAGCAATGCTACACACTTAGAGTGTAACCGAACACTTTCCAATATCCGTTGCTCCATTCCAAGATTCTCGCTCCATTCATGCCTTTGGATCAATCAACAAGCGCTAGAATCTGGTCTAACAGGAGATGGAATGGCGCCGTAATAGCTCCACTAAGCCTTGCCCCATCTGGATGAATTATTTTGGAAGAATACGATTCTCTTACTGACACCACCACCATCCGAAACCAATTCATCCTTAACAATATGCTTTTTGTTGCAAAAAATGGTCATAATTTGACAGTCAAAATCATTTCATTATTAAAAAATGGCGGAAATTGGAGAGAAATATTGACCTGCACGCCGCACTCCGCTGGTCCTTCGGCCATCTTGCTACCGTGCCCGGTCTACCTACCCTAAAAATGCAGTAGATTGGTCAACGGAAGTACGAATTTCACGAAAAAAAATCGTACAATCAATCGCTACGAACATTTCATGAGTCTCACTGACCGCATCTGATTCGAAATTACAAGCACAGAGAGTTATCTGATGAGCAGAAAGAGTTCAATGAAGGCTAAACAACGAACAAGGTCGGCAAAAGCTTCATAAAAGGACCCTTTGCAAAGCGTGAAACGGATAGGGATAACGGCTTTGGAACGATGGGAGTGCATGGATATAACAAGCAAGCGGCCATTGCGAAACCGGCGTCTATCGATTCGGAGCCAACATCACCACCGCGGACAGCCGGCCAGTCGGAGAGCTCTTTCCCTCCATGAAACACGAGACGATGAAATTAAAAGAAAACCCGTCTATCCATAAAACACCAATGTCAAACATAGCAAGCATACGAGAAAAAAACGTGAATTCCGTGAGACAAAGTGGAACGTAAAGCGATTGCGAATGGCTGCCTGCAACTGGGAAGGAGTGCGAATTTTTTCATTCCACAATTTTTGCAGACTGAAGGATGAACACTAAAAACAGCTCATTCAATAGCAAATAAATTATCGATCGATCCTCAAAAATGATGATCCTGCTTAAAAGTTGTTGGGAGTATCCACTAGTAATGAAGTTGCTACAACGGGAAGTGAAGAACTTGAATAACGAGTAGATTTGGAATCCATTTTCAGTTTTGATCTAGCTAAACTGTAGTATATGAAATTCATGAAAGAAAAAATTTGGGTGCAAGAAAAATTGCAAACGCAAGCATTATTTATCGGCAGGCTGAATGCGTCTCCAAGGAAAACCGATCGATATAACCCAGACTCGACTCAGAAGAAGATAAATGCGAAGAAAAGGATTCGCATGAATGCACCGATGATGCACAAAAACTTAATTCATATTGAACCACACGACAAGTGGAAGAGAAAGATGATTAGTTGAAGCAAAGACTATTTAATCAGTTTCCTGAAAGAAGTAAGTTGGGAAAGGAAATATATGTACCAAGCAAACCTATGCGAATGAATGACGACTATGAACTCGTAACAAAAAGAAACTGGCAATGAGACTAACCGTCAGTAGAATGAATCATACACTTATCAGGAGTGACCAAAGAGCTATGCAACCGTTTTGTTGATAGGAAAGTAAAAAAAAATCACTGGAACTGCACAGCTAAAGATAAATGAGGTTCCTTATCAAAACGTGGACAACATCATTTTGCTAGCTAAACTCGCAATAGCGAAAATCCACGAGATGAATGGAAACGAAAAATTAAGTGAAAAAAAAACGCTCGGGAAAATGTACGCCGCGAATTCTGTTCTTTGAGGGATTTGATAGATATGATATGATACTTGATATTACTGCTCAACCATGTACAAATACGCCCACAAAGCCTTGCCGAATCATTGTGCTTTACCAAAAAACAAGGAGAAAAAAAGAATGGAAAGACCTTGCCTTGTAATGCTCACGCCGCTTTCTCTTAAGGGTCAGAAGACAGCGGAATCTTCGCCATAACGTTGTCAAAGTAGCGTAACAAACAAAAGAAAGTGAATTCTCCAATTTCAAAGGAATCCCGAATGTGGATTGCGAAAGCACAGACTGAGGGGCGCGGCAACGACGGGGAGGAGGCCGGTGGTCCGCAATTATCGGCACTGACCCGCCGCGACGCGTTGCGCTGTGCCCTCTTCCGGAACATACTCTCTCGTCACTGTCAAGCCGCTGCGCGGCGATGAACAACACAACTCGACGATTACCGTGTCAGCGCAGTGGAATTCCATCCTATAGTTGTCATTTTTTGAAGCCTTGAATATGGCATACTCCAAGAGCAAATTTGCATGATTTCCTTTTTCTAGCTCAAAGCAGGCCAGTATGGAGAGGAAGCAGGTCAAGATATTATAGATGCACTTGGCTGAGACTCGCAATAAATATGGTCTGAAGCAATTGTTCAAAAAGCTTTTGTAAGAATAGCGAGAGCCCTAAAGGATTGTGAGGGTGGTGATCGGAGATTGGACAACGCCAACGATAGCCGAACGTTCTGGTTGAAGCACGCTTGTACAAATCTATTGAGAGGGTTCCTCCTGAACTAATCGCACTTGCACTGTTTTCTTGTTGTACGGGAAGAGCTGGAAGAGTCCCGAAAATTCAAATAGGGCGTGCCGCGACAGCTCACGGCGTGCCGC